AATTTTTGCTTCTCTAATTGTCCCACCGAGAGGCAATTTGGTCCAGTGATTAAGGTGCTGAGAAATTGTAAATTCTAGTCCCACTTTGGGCATAAAGCTAGTTGGATGACCTTGGGCAAGGGCAAAACAATCTTGGCAAAAAAATACCTACAGAAACTTGTTTAGGCAATCAGCAGGAGTATTGATTTGAACTAGCCCCCCACCACCACCCACACACCCACACAGAAAATCCCACCAGTAAATTTTATCATGGCTTTTTCAATTATCTCAAACTTCTTAAATTATTTTAGTGAGGTTTAACACCTTTATCAATTTTACCAGTAACAATGAATTTGAAATAGTAGTTTTGCCTTATTTTTCCTCACTCTTCATCTGTAACTTCCAATAACATGGAAGATATTCTCAAGTAAAAAAATTCATAGTGCATCTCTCAATTACATTTTTTTCATCTTTGATCCTGTATTTCTATACACCTAAAAGTATACATGTTTGTGTGTATATATACACATACTGTATGCTCACACACACACATGCTGAAGCATACAGATGTATATTAACAGGAAAATAGATAATGAACTCATCCACTGGAATAATGAACTCACTAGATTTTACTAAATGTTTAATTGCGCAAAACAATTTAAATTTCTGCACTGCTACACATTAGGAAATAGCTAGACTTGATGCTGTAAAAACTAAACAGACTGATGAATTTAATGGGTTTGATTATTGAGGCATGCACATGCCTAATGTTTCTTCCCAACTTGTCCTTTCTATTAATTATGAAGTTTAACATCAACTAGCCTTCAATTAGTCAGCGTCCTTGAAGAAAATAATTTAATGGTGTCAACCTCTACATGTTTAATTGACTTTAAGTCCAGTTAGTTCAAATGGACTCACTCTGTTTTAAGTGAATGTCAGTTGTATCTACGTTAATATGGGGAAAACATTCCAGAGCATTTATACTTCTGCCAACAGACAGTATTCTGCTCATTTCTCAGGAGGTAATTTTTCAAAGTTTTTAGCCAGGCATTATTGCAACTAATGGCATGGACCTAGAATTCACCTCTTTAAAATTAAATGATGTTGGTCTACTTAGGAGAGTGAAGTTTAATTGAAATCCACACAAGTATAAATTCCAACGTTATACTTCCGTTCTTAGACCATCTACTTAAATGCTGATAAATGTACCTTTTCCTGCTGCAGTGACATTTTAAATTTTAATATTGCATTGATAATATTTCCTACTTTCAAAAGAATATAGCGGGTATTCATATGTCATGGAGAGAATTTCCATCCTCTGAAAAGAATAAAAATTTTGGAAAATTCTATATTTGAAAATATATAAAAACCAAACTCTTCTCACGGAGCTTACATAAGCAACCAGTGTCATAAAAGCTTCTTAGAGGACTAGGATTTCAAGTGCAAAAGTGAAAGGAAGGAATGTTGACTCTCTTTTTAGCAAAACATAATTAGCTTTTATGTAATAATCTTGGATTTCATGTATTTTTTAATCATGTCAGTTTGTTAATTAAACTAGTGAAATGTATTTCACTATGTAAAATTTAGCAACAGGAACAATATAGTCTTTTTGGCAAATAATTTTGAAACTGTATATGAACAAATAGCATTTTTAAAAAGTTTGAAGGATGGATATGCCCTTAAGCATTCCAAATGTGTTAAGTATGAGTGTGTGTGTGTGTGTGTGTGTGTGCGCGCATGTGTGCACACATGCATGTGTGTATACACACTATAAAAGTATTGCAACTAAACTTCCTTACAGAGGCCTTTTGTAATAAGCTTTTAAAGTAATAAGTCTTAAACTACCCCCTACCCCATGAAAGCGTAGGAAAGAATTCAGCTGAGCTGTATGCTAGTTATCATGACTACGGAGGAATGCACTTCTTCACAAGACAAATGTAGGAGATTGCTGTCATGGTAACCACTGGCAGTTGCCAAACTAATTGTATAGAGGAGGCTGTGTCACGTATGCCATCCTATAGCAATAATCCTGCTGATTATTATTATGTTCTCCATTATCCTGGACAGTAGCTTCATGTTTCTGCTAAGACACATACAGTACTCATTTGGCCCTCTTTGAGAATGTTGTCCAGATGTTCTTCCCTACTGATAATGCAGACTTTTCTTCCAAGCAGCTGGTGGGTAGATAAAGCAGCACACAGTATCAGGGCCCCTCAGCAGTCTTCAAGTTGCCTTCATGTAGCAGCTACAGTGTTTCTCAACCTTGACAATTTTAAGGCATGTGGACTTCAACTCCCAGAATTCCACAGCCAGCAATGCTGGCTGTGGAATTTTGGGAGTTGAAGTCCACATGCCTTAAAATTGTCAAGGTTGAGAAACACTGACATTGTAGCAGCACCAATCCTGGAGAAAAAGGTTGAATACTGTAAACATTATTAGCTGATTGTAAACTTAAATATATCTTTCTTTAAAAGAATACATGGTGTTTTTTTTCCTTTCAAGGGGATCAGGTTCTTTGATTAGTGGGATGTGAGCTATATAACTAAGAAAAGCTAAGAGCCCCTAGATTAAGACATTTTTATATCTTCCAAAAACTCATATTAATATTGGTAACATTCTCTTTTCCAATGTTTTCCCCATAAACCTGGGAGATAAGCTGAACTGAGAGTAACTGTCCAAGAATTATCTGGTGGATTTCCATAGTAAAAAAAAAAATAAATGAGTTGAACCCGTGCCTCCTCAACCTCAATGCATTAATGACCTGCCACCCAAGCATAAGTGAAGTGTTCCATATTATTTTGAATAAAGAATACATTTTTAGAGGGACTTGTATAAACATTAGATTTTGCCCTTCAGTCTTAGTCCAGTCTTTGATGTCTTCTTTAATTGTAAAATAAAAATGGGGAATTTAAAACTGACGTTGGCTTTTAATTTATAATGCATGATGATGATGTTATCCATTCAGCCATGTCCGACTCTTGGCGATTCTAAGGGCCAGGTCTCTCCATGTCTTCCTATCTTGCATTACTTCTTTGAGTTGTTCTATGCTCTGTCTGGTGTCAACTTTGATAGCATTAGAACACATTTTAATGTACAGGCTTTACTTGAACATAAAATTATCATCATCAACTGCGCAATTGTCTTATTGTTCATGCTTCTCTGAAACAGAGAAGATGGTTTGTAAATATTACAAAGAGCAGTCCTACCAATGGTCTAACAAAGACTTCCAGTCTAACAAACATGTGTTTGTTTGTTTGTGTGTGTGTGTGTGTGTGTGCTTACATATATGTCCACATGCAGACACACAGAGATGGCTTGAATGGTTAGAGAGATTTAGAGGGACAGATGGATTTGACTTGAAATAATGAGCATTCTAGTTCTGCCAGCTCCATTCTTTACAGAGGAGGAAAAATAAGCAATAATTCAGAACTCGGTAGCCACAGTTTCTTGCACTCAGAGCAAAATAAACAGTACTTCATTTCCTTTGAAATCCATGACTAATTTTTCATATTGATTTTAGTGGAAGTGAAATATAATAAGTTTTCATTTAATATAAATTAAATTTAATAAATAAAGAGCTTGGTCTGAACTTTATAAAACTTCATTGTAGCAGGTCAAATATCTCAAATTGATATGTAATAAGGCTGTTCAGTCCTTTGGATTTTATTATAAAATGTGCCTTAGAGTATATGGGGGTATACACATAGTTATCTGAATTTCTTCAAGTACCTTCTTCTTTTCCCAAGACTCCATGCAGCTATTTTAATAAGTATTAAGACAGGTATTAAGTTTCTGTTTTTGTATGTTCTGAAGGACTTTTCATTAACATTAAAAAAATTCAAAACACTGCCTGGCTCTACTATACAATATTTGCTCATCTCAGATATTTGAATTAATGGCATTTATACCAAATGTCCTTGGTTATTCAAAAAGTAGCTGATGAATTATATCTTCTGTTTTATTACCATACCACAACTTGTGTATGATAAACAAGTATGTACAGTAACATACTTTCATCAACTGTGGCGCAGCAGTTAGAGTGCAGTACTGCAGGCCACTTTAGCTGACTGTGTTCAGCAGGTCAGCGGTTCAAATCTCACCGGCTCAAGGTTGACTCAGCCTTCCATCCTTCCTAGGTAGGTAAAATGAGGACCCAGATTGTTGGGGGCAATGTAAATATATTCATACATTGCTTACTGGTGTACACCGCTTAGAGAGTCCTTGCACTTAAAAGCAGTATATAAGTCTCATAAATAAATAAATAAATAAACTATGTTTGCTTTTGCATAGACGTAAAAATGGCATAATGTTGGATAGGTGATTAAAATGCAATATTTCTATTCATGGCCTGAAGTTTTAACCAGCAGGAACAGAATTTGTTGAGGTGGTTAGATATATGCCAGCTATTGTAGTGATATTCCTAAGAGGTAAATTTTAAAACAGAATGAATAATTCTTGGAGACGTTATTGGAAATGTAAAAGGTAGTTATGGTGAACTGCTTGATTCTTTTTAAGGTGTCCATGTGTCCTGCTTCAAGGTTAAGAATTGCAGGGCAAATAATCCACCAAGCCATAGGGAGAACAAGAGAAAGTATGGGATTTAAACTACAGTGGGCATAATGATAGAGGACAATTCTCTTTAGTATGCAGTAAAGTTTCTTAGGCAGTTGTGTTTTGCCATGTATCTGAAAGCCTTAAATTGAGTTAAACCTAGAACCTAGTCAAGCCATATGAAGGCAGATGCTCAGGAATTTCTGTTTCAATATGGGCACTAAACCTGACAGCTTGTGTGGACTGGATTGCTTATTTATTAAGAGGTTATCTATCTTTTATCACATAAGTGTATTTAATTTTTATGTACCATATCTCAATTAATTTGAGATGTGAATGGGGGTGGGGTTCTGGGTAATGGTTTACTCATTAGTTTTGGTTTTTTTAAAAAAGCTAAGAATAATGTTTCTTTCCTGCTCTCCTACCCCCCCCCCCCATTTTTTATTTTATTTTTTGTGTTAAAACTACAGGAGTCATAAGAACAGCTCTGCATAATATGGACAGGGAAGCCAGAGAACATTATTCAGTTGTCATTCAAGCCAAAGATATGGCTGGACAAGTTGGAGGGCTATCAGGATCAACCACAGTAAATATCACACTCACCGATGTCAACGACAATCCTCCCAGGTTCCCTCAGAGTATGTAAAGGTTTGATCTGATTTATTTCTTCCCAACAAAACTGTCTGCTGTTAACAATTTCAGAGAGATTCTGTTAAAATGAAGGATGAACTGTGAATAACAATCAAGATGTTTGACAGTGACATACCCTATTCACTAACTCCTAAGAAATAGCATTTTCAATGCTGTGCTTATCTACATCTTTACTTAGCAAAACCTTCTACTCTTTATTTTTTTATGCCACCTCCAGCTTCCTGCACTCACAGTTGTCCTTGGCCTGGCCACACTCCAAAGCACTCACCTGTCTGCCAGGCGGGTTTGTGAGCATCCTGGGACTTGTAACTTCCTGCCTGCTTTCCCATTGACTTTGCTTCTTGAGAGCTGGCACTACATTACAAATCATGGTTATATGAGGTCCTTGTTTAACAACTTGTAAGCCTCACTTAATGACAGCAACGGGGACCGCCAGTTCTGCAGTTGTTACATGATGCAGTCATGTACACCATGTTTTACAACCACATGACTTAGCAATGGAAATTCTGATCCCAATTACCATTGTTAAGCAAGAACTACTTGTAGTAAAGTAATGATGGAAGACATGACACTGGAACTCTGAACCAACATGTCTAGATCAGAATTTGATTAGAAGCAGTTTATGATTTATTTATTCAGTTTGTATTCATAAGAAGCAAATGGTATTCAGCAAAATGTTTTGCCCTGTAGTCACTTACTCACTTACTCCATTTTCCATTCTCTGTTTTTTCCCCATTTTGTTCAGCAAATACTGTAATTGAGGTGATAACCCTTCAATTTAGAAATGACAAAAAAGGGTTAAGCATCTCTATAGTTTGTCCATCATATTATGCATGGGGAAAAATGCTTTGCACCAAAGAAAAGTTGGCTTAGATTCCCACATCAATGTTTGCCACTAAATCCTTAGTTTAATATTGAATAGGCAGAAAATGGCATAATTAATGCCATTCCTTTAATCAGTGAGATGAAAAAATTAAACACTTTTTTCTATGTATTTGACATAGGATTTAACTATTAATGCAGAAAGATACAAATTACAATATCTAGAAGAGAGTTTCAATAAGTTGTTTCAATATTAAAATCATGTTTGAATACTAAAAGACATTAATGTTAACCTATGCCTGTATAAGCTTGCATGCAACCAGAAAACTGCTGGTAACCTCAAAAAGTTACACAAAAGAGCTATTGATACAAGCTAAGAGTTATTTGCATATTGTAAATCTTTATAGTTAACTGTATTTCTTTATAAATTCTAAAATTTGCTTCTCTTCTTTTGGAGAAGACTTCCAAGGCATACTATGCTAGTTGGTCTATAGTTTCCTGGGTTTTATAGTTTTAAGTATCAATAGAAGAGAATATTTATAGCTCTTGGTTGAACTGTGGGGTCCTTCATGCTCTCTGAGTGTGGTGATTTTCTGGCAGACATTTCATTATCAAACTATGTAACATCATCAGTAACTCAAAGACCATTAAGGCCCCTATAGTTTTAAATCCTGGTGTATTAAAGTGATGAGGCCATTGTACCAGCATGAAGAATTATTGGCATCAGACATCAGAAAATCACCAGGGATAATATTTATTAGAGAAATAGCTGCAACTTAATGGTAGAGCAGATGCTTTGTATGGTGTCTCTAGATAAGACTGGAGGTACTGCTGTTGACAGCCACTGATATTGAGTATCCATTGTATTAAGCTAGATTCAGAATAAGGCAACCTGTAATACATTTGCTGCAGGTTCCAAATTACCTGTAGAGCATGGGAAAAATAGGATCACATAAAGCAACACAGATCTTAGACAGAATTGTAGAAACAGAGGCTGGCAATGAGATTGTTTTCCCTACAGTTGTAAATCTTCATTGATTGGAAAATGGTACAATTTCTAACAACATCACTGACCAAGCAATCAAAAACACCTTGATTCATTTATCCTCTTAGATCAAAGGAAGTTTCTGTCTTACAAGGTGATTTAAGATTGTAAAACAAACAAACAAAAAGGTTTAGCCTAATAAAGAGAAGATTGAGGAGAGACATGAAAGCAGTTTTGGAATACTTGAGGGATGGCTATAGGGAAGAGGGCATTGATTTATTCTTCATAGCTCCTTGAGGGGAGGACAAGAAGCAATGGATGAAAACTCATTAGAGGTAGTTCCAGTGATGGGATTCAGCCATTTCGCACCACTTCTACAGAACAAGTAGCTAATTTTTCCAGAAGCAGCATCCACACAGAGAACCAGTTGTTCACATATTTGAATCCCACCACTGGGTAGATCCAACCTGAAAATAAGGAGGAATTTCCTAACAGAACCATTAATCAATGGAACAGCTTGCCCTTCAGAACTTGGGTGCTCTATTACTGGAGGTTTTTTTTAAAAAAAAAAAAAAGTTTGGACATCCATTTGTCCAGTGCTTTTTTTGTAAAAAAAAAAAAGTGCCAGAACTCACATGTGTCATACAACCCGCCTTGCCTACCCTACAAGATTCCATCCAAAAAAGGTGCCGGAATTCCGTTCTGGGCATTCTATGACAAAAAAAGGCCTGCATTTGTGTAAGATGGCATGAGGACTCCTGCCTTAGTCATGGGGTTGGAGTAGAACATCTCCAAGGTGTCCCATCCAGCCCTATGATTCTATGAAGTATTTTTTTAAAAATTTTTGGATTGTTAGTGTTTGCTCTGTTCAGACTACAGTATGTGATATTGCTAGGTGTAAAGGTGCCAACACTTTTCAAGCACTTTTCAATAATGATCTCTTCAATGAATGGTGAATTATTGACAGTGCTTCATTTAAGTATATCATATACATTAATTTTCCTTCCTTACAAATAGACTTGCATGCAGCAAGCCTCCAATGTACTTGAATGTTCTTTCATTTAAAAAAGAAAAAGGAAGAACAGAAATAGATAAGGTAAAGAGTTGAAGTGGATAGATAACTAGTTTAAAAGTTTTTCCATGATGCAAAACAAGATAGTTTTCTCAGCTGTAATATATATATATATATATATATATATATATATATATATATATATATATATATATATATATCGTAAAATTGATAAACAAAAGTGATCACCAGGATAAAATCATAAACAAAGCTGTTTAATCTACAAAAGTACTGAGCTTTCGTCGGCCACACTGCCGACATCATCAGAGTATAAAATGCTGGATCCAGGAGTCCGTTTTTATGTGACTGGCTGCCTCTGCACCTTGACCCTTGATCGGGTCATTGGTCCACTCATTAGCATTGGCCGTGTTGTTCTTAAAGGGGCTGTTTCTAAAGTTGCTCTCCCCCCTCCAATTATTATTGTTCTCTTGGTGCGTCTACAAGCGCTTGGGGATCGGCTGTCAGATTGCTCCTGTTCATCTCTCCCCACTACCCCATTCATGATAGCTTGTCTCCGTGTCACCAAACTGCCTAGCGTGTGTGTTTCAGGGGTCGTTCTTCCGTTTGCCAGTCCTGTTACTTTCCTTGCACGTATGTAAATCTCTGAGGATTGGCTATTCTGTTGTGTCTGTCTGACTGTCTGTCTGACTGTCTGTCTCTCTCTCTCTCTCTCTCTCTCTCTCTGTGTGTGTGTGTATGTGTATGTGTATGTGTATCTTTACAATAACACTTTTTCTGAGCCATGTACCAGAGCTTTAGTTTAACAAATTAATGAGAAGGAAGCCATGTCCAAACCAGAGATCTGTTAAAAGGCATATGAGATTTTTCAAATTCTAAGGCACACTCATACATACAAAAAGCTGATAACAGTGAATACTGTTTTGAAGAGAAAGTATGAAAACCATCCATACTAATTCATCCATTGAATTCACTGATTAGGATGAGGTCTATTATTGTCTGAAATTCAGACAAAACTCCTATCCAGCAATAGTTAGTCACTAACAAAGGGTGACAAAAGAATAGGTTAACTCCACCTAAAAGGCATGGAAACCTTTAGCAGAACAAACACTGCCCAATACAAGTCAGGTTCATTAGCCAGCATTGTTTTTTATTGAATCCATGGGTTGTCAACAGTCAAATTTGCCTGCCATTACTTCTACTGTATATAGTTTTTTCTTCTTTTTTCTCACCACAGTCCTCTCTGATTACTACTTCTGTTCCCAACTCAACATCAGCAGGGCCTCTGGCAAAAAAAAAAAAAAGCACCTTTCCTTTGAGAAACAAACTGTCTCCACTTGCTTTAGCAGCCTAGGTAGCTGATACAAAGCATTCCTTATGGAAGCCTGTATCCATGACCAGACAACAGGAAATTTGGCTGAATGAAGACGTGTCACATGGACAGATACACACATTTATATACAGTATGGTGCAATTCATAGAAATTACAGATATGGATAGAATTTATTTAATATTGATATGGCCATCCACTTCATAGAAATGGTTTGATATTCATTCATTCATTCCTTCATTCATTCATTATTTTTCTATCCTATCTTTATTTTTACAAGTCAGTATACATAATGTTCCCACCTTTTATTTTCTGCACATGATCTCTCTAAAATGGGCTGGATGATGAGAGAGTGACTGACCCAAAGTCACCCAGTAAAGCTTTTGTATCCAAACAGTCTTCAAGTTTCTAGTCTAGCAGCCTATCTTCATGATATGAAATGGACAAAAACCTTGATTGATTACTGGAACTCCTGGGAGATGAATGAATTAAAGAAATATGATCACTTTTAAATGAAATGAACAGAAATTGTATTCACCTGTTAAAGAAAATAAGATCCTATCATGAAAAGGATAGTTTTAAATGAAATTGTCCATTATGTTCAAAGATTGCAATATGCACACAGAAACTCTGCAAATTAAAATAAAATGACTGTGTTGTTTCTCTTCCTCAAATGTTCATTTTCAATCACATCCCATGTTGGTCACATCATTAAAAAAATAATAACATCATAAAACAAGATGAATCACAATGAACCATATTTTTTTTTTGAATTTCTCTTTTCTTGCTCCCTTTTTAATATAGCAGCAAACGTTTACGTCCTGTTGCCTCTGTGGTTTGTGTAGAAAATAATGAGGAAGGGCTTCTCATCATTTCAAAGTTGCAGTGTTTTCAGTATTGTGCTATTTCAAGCTCTGGCAAGTAGTTTTCTTTATGGTTCACATTTTGCTGTATCTAGCTGCTTAGGGAGGCCAGCGCAAAATGTTGGCAAGCAAGGCTTAATAGGAATCAGAGAAGACAAGATTTGACTTCTTCATCCTAAAATGCCAAAAAGTCCTTAATCTGAGCTCACCTGGTATTGGTGATCTGCTTTTGTATCAGAGATAATATATTATGAAGCATAATAGTTTTTATAGATACTGTCAACTGCTTTGTAATTGATGCATCTAAGAACTACTTAATCCAGTCCAAGGATGACAATATAGTGGGAAAGTGAAGAACGATGTTGTCAAGGCACGTTAGTACCATTCTTAGGTAAAAATTGGAAAGACTGTGAGCAGATTTTCAACTTGAGTCTTCTTCAGTCCTAACTGAACATTTAAGCACCACATTACATTCCTTTAAAAGATTAGATGCAAACTGAAAAATGTCCAAAGCAAGATGCACTTCCAGAAGAAAGAAAAAAATTGCCATTGTTGCAAAAACGTTGGGAATCTGTTTTTTTTTCACTGATCTTTCCCTCTGTTGTCTATTATGGAATAAATTGTCCAATCTTCTCTTGACAGATAATAAGTGTGGTTCTTAGAACAGATGGGTATAATCTTGTTGAAGATGTTTGATTGCTCACAGTTTACAGGAAACTCAGCCTACTTTTAATCCAAAATCCAAACTCTTCTGTACTATTTTTGGAAAGAGAGAGAGAGAGAGAGAGAATTATTTAAAGCTTTTCTGTATTGTTTATCAATTAAAAATTGACCATCATTAAGTACTGGCAAGCTTAGAAGATAGACATATTAAATATCACATGACAAATTCAGTGCATAGTTGTTCATAACTAAATTGCAGAAAAAGAGTTAGTTTCAGATAACATGTACATGGATTTGTAGCATTTCAGAATGAAGAGCTAGTTTATGAAAGGCATTTATTGTTTTGAACAAAAAGAAATACTTTGATGTATTTATCATAAATGTATATGTAGTAATAATTGGTTACTAAGGATAGTTTGCTAATTACAATGGATTCACAACCTTTTCCCCTACTGCTTGATTTACCATACTGATTCTGAACTTGACGTTGAATTTTAAAATAATGGTTTGATTTTACCTTTCCACTGTCTCCTCCACGCCACACACACAACAATTCCTCCAGCCTACATGTCTCAAGATAGCCAAATGGTAATTTCATCTGTATTGCAAAACCCACTGCAGTCATAATTGTAGCTTTCTTAGCCCCAGAGTGCAAGTACATTTTTTGTTTCTTTTCATCTTAAGGTCAGCTGGTGGGTGCACAAATGTTCGCTTAAGAAATAATCTGATTCAGTGCAGTAAAGTTTTGAATGGTAAAGTTTGTTACAATTGTAAGACACATCAATGTAGGAGGAGGAGAACTCACTTCAGGGTTTTTAAATTGCTTAGCTTTTAACTCAGTGAAATTTACAGACTTCATTTCCCTGGCCATTTGGGAGGCAAGAACGATGCAAGCTCAAAAGTGTTGTATTTTTTTCCTTTGTAGCTTCAAAGACAAAGATGCTGTTACAGTTCTAAAGTCAAACAATTCAAGGAAACAAAAGAAAGGATCTCAGATCCTCAGATCAGTTCATTCAAATTTTTATTATACTTAAACTACTGAGTCGCATTACACACCATGACTTCTAAGAATTTAACACAAAAGAGTCCCAAAGAAAGCCAGTGCTTCTTCACACTCAACAACGTTATGGAATTGGTCAAAAAAAAAAAAAACAAACCCTATGACCAGCTTTGATGGCTTTTAAAGATTACTTCAGGATTTCAACTTCTACAGTGAAGAATAACAGCAGTAGGCTGTTGCTTTTATTTCATGTTTATGGGCTTCCCATTCAAAGTAGAATATCAAACTAGGGCTACAGTGTGTCTGGAAGAGCTATAGCTGCAAGCTCTAGCAAGATTTGCATTCTCTTTCAATCTTTGTGCAGTTTGGATTTTACAGACACTACAATTTCTCTCCTTGAGATGATGTGCTTCTACAACTGAAATCTCCTGAGATTATTTTCTTTCAGAGTTAACTTCCTTTTGATCAATGTGCTTTGGTATCCAGGACAAATTTTATTTCAGCAAGATTTATTGGTAACTGATATACAAGTAGATCACTGAGAACATTGATGGGATGAACAACCTTTTCTACTGTTTTTTTACCTCTCTTAAGTAGCAACTTTTAGTAACCAGTTTGTGATAAATGAGAGTAAGTGGCTAATCTAATCTAATTCTGCTAGTCCTCTTACTCTACAACTTGTATAAACAAATTTTGGTAACTTACAGGGTTATTTAAATGAGTTGTGTGGGAAGCTAGCCGTTGTCCTAGCTTATTTTCTGAACAAGGCCATCATGTTCAATCATAATGTGATTTCTTTATCTTGGCATAGCATGTTGAACATAAGAAATTGTGTTTTGTTAATTTGATTGTGTAAAAGACTGTGGATAATTCTCATTGTCTGGATATATATTTTGAGTAGGACTTAGAATAAATAGTCTGTTGCTCCATTTCCAAACACACTGCTTCATCCCCAGTTAGAAATAAAAGGTGGGATGCATGATGGTGGTAGTTATACATACGTGTAAATTGTTTTGTTGGAATTCTTTATTTTGTTGTTTTATTCTTCCAGGGAGCAGCATCCTACAATCTTTACAATCAGTCTAGAGCAGATGCTATAAATTGATGATGCAATTTGTTTCATGTATTTCACTGAATTTGTCCCTTCTGTGCTATTTTTGAAATCCTTCTAAAACTGTATTACTAGAAAAATTGCCTCATTATATTGTTATATTTTTCAGAACATTATCAGCTGTATGTTCCTGAATCAGCACAGGTTGGTTCTGCTGTAGGCAAAATCAAGGCCACTGATGCAGACATAGGGTCAAATGCAGACATGAAATACAGCATCATAAATGGGGATGGTTCTGGAATATTTTCGATATCAACTGACAAAGAAACACGGGAAGGAATTATTTCCTTGAAGAAGGTAAGCAAAATAATTGCAAAATATTTCTTTGTTAATAATATTAAACATCCTAGAATCCTTGGCAAATTAGGACCTAGCAAGATATTTCTTTAAGTCTAGAATTGTTTCTGTCATGTGTGTTTGGATATCTACCATTTCAAAGGGAACATAATTGAATTCAAAATCTCTTCAATGGTGTAGTTTACCCTGCTGTAATTTTATTTTCTAAATCATTTTTCCTCTAACAGATCTCCAGTGGAGAGATAGTACCAATTGGGAAAATACAAAAGGGACTGGTGGGAAGTGAATCATGATCAAACAAAAGTATCCTATCCTATCCAGCTTCACCATACTTCAAAAAGTAGCATCTTCTTTCTATATAACTTTGAAATTCATTGTTTAAACCAAAGGCTCTCAATTTTTTTTTTGAGATGAGGATCATATTTTTCTTTGAATGGCAAGTCAAGGGTCATATTCTGCCATAAAGATGGAGATGAGAAAACAATTAAATGTGCTGTAGTAAAAAATAAGGCACTATTAAAAATAATAGTATGTAGCTAATATGATTGTTTGGGGATATTTGATATATTCCATGTCATTAAAAACTGCATATTATTGGCAACTTTTGGAAGAGTTTAGCTGACCGTACCTGATATGCCATGTATACATTTTCTTTGACATTAAGCCCTATTGAAATTGATAGATTTACTCATAAACATACATGAAGGCTCAGGCCAGCTTATACCTTTGGTGGCTATAGAAATGCAGAAACAGATGAGCATTGCTTTAAATATGAAAAATTAACCCTAAAATTATGCATGTATGACTAGTCCATCCTCAACCATGAGAACTCGGATTATTCGAGGCCAGTCATTCTCTCACTCTCGACCCAAGAGTTGTTGTTCAAAAATAGGAAGAGACGGAGAGAGCTATGTGACTTTGAGCAATCGAACAAAAGATGGGATATAAATATAACTAGTTAAATAGAAATTGTGTATAAAATGTATCATATGCCACATAGAATGGGACAACTCGCTGCAGCCATTTTGCAGTGGTCAATTTGTTGTGGCTATCTTGCTATGGCCAACTTGCAGCCAACCTAGCACAGCCAACTTGCCACAGCCCAACTTGCCGTGGGACAATTCCATGCAGGATAACTCAACCTGAAAAATATTATACCCTACTGTTTCTTCAATATTGTTTCCATTGTCAAAAATGGAAATAGTAGTGGATAATATTTATAATTTTAAGGCAGGGGTGTCAAACTGCTGGGCCGCAGGCCAGATGCGTCATGCCAAAACCACGCCCACCCCAGCTCCGGCAATGGGGGAAAAGTCATGACACATCACATGTCATTGCGAGTTTGACACCCCTCCTTTAAGATATCCCACATGGATTGTCCCTCGGCGAGTTGTCTCATGACAAGTAAGATGCTGCGGCAAGTTGGCTATGGCAAGTTGTCCTAGACCAGTGATGGCGAACCTTTTAGAGACCGAGTGCCCAAAAACCGCCCCGTCTCCATTCCACCCACCTGCCCCTGCCCTGCTCCGCCCTCACCCCATCTGCCCTCGGGCATCCACGGCCTACCGATCACCCAGGCGGCTCTGAAGCATCATGTGCTGCCCAGCTGCCATGTGCTTGGCTGCGCTGTTCCGTGTGGGCTGCACCCGGGGGTGACTCTCCTCCGGGGGGGCTGCTGGTGAGGAGTGGGCTGCGGGGGGAGGTGGGGTGGGATGACAGTGTGAGTGCCCACACAGAGGGCTCCAAGTGCTACCTCTGGCACTCATGCTATAGGTTCGCCACCACTGTCCTAGACCCTAATCCAGATGTCCTACTCTCCCATACACTCATGACAATCTTGCTGGCATAAATAATCATCTCTGCTAGAATTGCAAAAAAGACGGTAATTCACCCATGAAAAAAGAAATTCATATAAATTGCTACATTAGTGCCTGCTATATATAAAGATGACAATCCATTGTTACACATAAAAAGAAATACTATCCTCTTAAATATTCAGTTGGCATATTGAAAATTTTAAAGTGAGTATTGAATGGAGGTTTGCACACTATTTGCTGCTTTTCTTTTTCTTACTCCACCTCTGCAGTCAGAGTTTTGAAGCAGAACCCTAATCCTAACCCCTCTTCTTCCTCCTCCTTCTCCTCTTCCTTTTCTGTCTTTGCCTACTAGGATTGATTTAATCTCTGGTTTTCAGTAGATTAATTCACCTGGTTCTTGGTCCCGGCTTTATAGTAGTCCTGAATCTAATGCTTAAGGATGTATAACTTGGCAAGATCCTGCTATTTCACATTTTATCTGTGAAGAATATTTGAAGTATACAGTCCTGTAAAACTACCAGTATTTATTTCAGAAGAGGACATTAAGCTAATATTCTGCTGTGTGTGTTTATGGAAGTAATGATTAACTAGGAATGAAAATGTCAATGAGAAAACCTTTCAGTGCATATAAGCCTTTCAGCTCCTCAAGAAATTGCATAAAACATTAGACTTGCACAGTAAGTAATAAATAACGGTCACTGACATTATCCATATTTTCATGCTCGATCTGAAAAAAGCATTGATAATTTCAGTATTAAAGTAAAAATCAATCTTCTTTCTTTTTTCAACCTTATTGTCCAGAGAGGTCCTTGAGAAGATTAAATAAATAAATATAAGTAACTAAAGTGAATTTTCAATGAGCCTTACCACATCAACTCCTGTTTCATATGCAAAGCACCCTAGAAGATATATTAGCCACATTGTACTTTCCCTCCTCCCTGATTAAATCCATTATTTCCTTATCCAAGATGAGTTATGCATAGTATCGACCTTGTAGGGAACATTTATGCCTCAGTCTTCCATGTTCATATCTTTCAGCAGCTGATTGCGGGAGCCATTTTGTCAATCAGCTTTACTGACAGCTGAATTCCCTCATTGAATCTCCAGCCATATAAAGTAGCCTGAGAGATCCAGCAAACTTTTTGATGAAGCTCCAAATGGATCTTCATCAAATAGAAGGGTAGCAGACAGAATAGTATGCACAGCATAGTGCACAACACAATTTGTTTTGTTTTGTTTTTTGTTCTTATAACTAAGAAAAAAAGGAAAAGTCAAGGATCCACTCAAAATGGGAATACATTACAAATCAATGCCAACACCATGGTGCTGTAGTCTAGGGGTGACTGGTCCTGAATCACATTAAGACCCTAATGATCCCTTAATGAGAAAACAAGCATAACCTGATTTGGCTGGATTGTTTGACCCAAATCAAGTAGACATACGGTTATGAGAATGTAAACATGTATGATGAGGCTTACTCTTGGATACTGTACATACTATTGTTATTATGTAAAGAGAGGTTCTCTCAAACTTCCAGAAATATTATCATTAAATATTGATAAGAAATAAAAGCAAGAATCTCATAAATATTTGACTTATGAGTTTTCATCCATACCTGGTGTTTTTTGGCATTATGTAGTTTTAAAATAATCTCTACTCTCATCTCTACCCTAATTAATTTTGTATTTGTCAAAAATTAGTTCAAGGAAACATGACTTTAAATTATTCAATAATTTAAACTCTTATGTAATTTATATATTATGTAATTATTTTGTTGTCAATGATGACAATATTGACTGGGGATCAGAAAAAAGATAATTTCATGGGATAAAACACACACACACACACATAAGCACACACAAAAGGTTATTAGAGGATATTAGAATCATGAATAGTGCTTTTTATTGAATCTCAGGGTTGTCAGCTCAATCAAAGATGTTACGGGCAACCATGTGCATAAGGATGCTAGAGGCAGTAACCAAACATTGTACATGCGAATCTGCCCATCCCCCAACCAGTGGTGATACCAAGCCCTGTATCCCAGCCAAGTTCATTACCACAGCCTCAGGATGCCAGTCCTGGAGACCAGTCCAGAGAAGTCCGGGGAGTGGTTCGACCACGTCCCCAGGATCAGCGAGCCACCCAAGCCTAGCAGCAGATACAGGCAGCTGAGGTTCAAGCCACCTCCCATCAAGCCCACCTTTGATGAGATCCCGGGAAGCTTTATAAACCAGGTGTGGGGTGATTTAGATCACTACACTTATGCCTACCTGGATGGGACTATGATGGTGAATGCTGTGGCGGCATTCAGTCATCTTCAGAACCACCACAAAACGGATGATTTCCCAATGCCGACCCTTTTCCAAATGCACAGGTTCAGTTAGGTGTGTGGCAGGGGGACCCGTTGGCCTGCTCAAACCTCAAGGGTAGGGGCAATAGCTTGGCTCAGATGCCCAGTTTGAGTACAGTGGGTAAGTTAATTAAGCACTGAGTGCAACCCAGGAAAAGGCCGATAGAATTGCATACTTTATCTATGCATCTTTCACAGTCCTTTGAAGCTTTTTGCTATATTTCTGCAACAGATTTCTAGATCTGTCAACTAAATGCTCAACCCATAGAAACCTCAGAGCTCTGCTCTCCACCACACTTCATGTCTCTGTCCAGAAAGATGCAAGTGACAGGGCCATGGGTGCCGTTCAGTACATGAATACAACCCAACATTTGCAGCTGAAGGCTACCTGGAGATGGTTAATACTGCTCTATTGAAAAAGGATTAAATTGGAAGTTTGTCAGAGCAAAAGAGCTCTTAGAGAAAATAACTTAAATATGTTTCAATACAGCTGAAGTATTTTGTTCACACAAAAGAAGTGGAGTTTTTAAACTAAAAGAAGTGTTAACAAAAGTACTACAAATCTAGCACAAATTAGGGAGTGGTTGCCACTATAAAAAGAGAGCTGTTACTGCTAGAACTATTTTGTAAATGTCTCAGAAGCTATAAACATACATGGCATTGCACGTAAGGTAATGAAAAAAATGCATTTTATACTGAGAGTTAAAAAACAACTCTCCGTAGTAATACAACATTATTTTTTCTTCCCGCAGCCACTCAACTATGAAAAAAAGAAATCCTATACTCTTAGCATAGAAGGAGCAAATATCCACCTCGATTTCCGCTTCTCACATTTAGGACCCTTTAAAGATGTGACTATGTTGAAGATCGTTATTGGAGATGTGGATGAGGCACCATTGTTCACTCTTCCAACCTATGTCATGGAGGTTTATGAAAATGCAAAAATTGGAACAACTGTGGGCACAGTAACAGCACAAGATCCAGATAGTGCTAATAACTTAGTAAGGTATGGTAGTATTAATGGCTCCTCGTAACAATGGGAGCGGGGTGATGGATTGGGGTGAATAAAGTGTTCCTTATGATCCAACGATGGAAATCTTGACTATATCACTCCTAATTTAAAAGTAGACCTGAGACTTTTTTTTAAAAAAAAATTAGACATGCCTTAAACTTTTCAGCAATTAGAAAGTACTGTACAATGTAAATTTATGGACTGCTATTTAAATAACAATTTGGACAGCAGCAAAATTCAGGTTATCAAATGGTTACGAACTTTCCATTCCTTTTCCATGTTTTTTCCTCAAACTGATACTGTAGCTACTGTAGCATGTTTAATTTGGACTGGGCTGGGGTTTGTGGGGAGCATTTTTTAAATTGTTGTAACTTATACAAATATTTTCTTCAGTGACTGAGTCACTAGTGTTTTCGGCCCACTCACAGTAAAACTATAATGCAGAGGATTTATATTTTCAGTGTTATATTTCTAGTAAAATTGAAGTATACATTATACTGGTGAGAAGATACCCAGGTTTCAGTATGTTTGGGTAAAAGGATCTCTGGGCAAATTATTTCTACTTGGGACTTTCAGACAATTCTAGGCAGAACATGTTGGAATGAACTATTTTGTGGTGTTTATTCATTTGATGAAGCTATTAGATGTTTTGTTTTGTTTTGATTTATGACATTTATGGATCCAGCCATTGTGGTTTTCATAGGCTATAGCACCGAGTGCCCAAACTGCAACCCAAAACCCACTTATGCATCGTCAGGTGCCGGGTGGGTGTGGCCCATTGGTGAGTGTGGCCCATTGGGTGGGCATGGCTGCAGTGGTAATGGCAGACTGAGTGGGACTAAAAAATTCAATCAATCAATTCCAACTTCGCGAGATCTTTTTTTCCCCCCGGGAGAAGTTGAAATTGATTGATTGAACCTTTTTTTTTTTTTTTGCACACGGCAGCAGAGGCCTAAAGCGAAAAAGTTTTATAAAACCCAGCTGAAGGCCTAGGACTGGGGTGATGGCATGCATGCCCACAGAGAGGGCTCTGCGTGCCATCTGTGGCATGCGTGCCATAGGTTCACCACCACGGGGCTATAGTTTAGCCTATTGTGGGAAAACTTTCATTTAATATTTATTTAAATATATTTATACTGTATAGCTGCCTATCTTATAACCAATTCTGGATGGCTTCCAATCAAATATAAACTGAATTTTTAAATAAAATACTATTTTACTAAGGGGAGACTATAGGGGGATTATGAATTTTTATTTGATAAGCAGCAACAAAGCATTTTTTGTAGCACTGTTGACTCAAGGATTGAAGCAGTTTGAAAGTTTTTCTAGATTTTGGAAATAAGCATGCAAGTATTGCTTAATTACTGAAACTTAAAACCAGCTATAAGGAAAGCATCATTTGTATACCTAAAGGCCTCATGTGTATTTAGGAGAAGAGGGTTTAAGATCATTGTACTATATGTACAAGAAACCCAATGCCCCATGTCTGGTTTGACAGAGGTTTTTTCAACTGCTGCTTTGTATACAGCAGACCATGACATTTTGCAATATTGTTGCAGAACTAAAACCATGGCTGCACTGACAAATTGCGGCAACATACAGTTGAAGGACTGTAACAGTCACTATGTGGGACAGACAGGCAGAAGATTAACAAACTTCCTCCATGAACATCAGTTGGAAAACATCTTAATGTCACAATGTATGGAGAGACTAAATCACTTAACAGTTTCAAGTGGGAAACTGTAAGCATCTTACACCAAGCCAACTTCAACAAAACTGGGGTACTTTTGGAAGCTTGGCATTCAGACAAATTAGACATACTGTAAATGGATATAGAGATAAACCACATTTGCATGCCATTCAAAAAAAAAAACAATAAAAAAGCTAAAGAAATAAAAAGACCAGAACAGATCCTCTCCAGTAACCAACAACCAGATAAGCAGGGATTGACATCAGACAAACAAGCAGAAAACAATACCCTAATCAAGGAAACTACCAAGGACGTAATCACATTCTCACTAACACTGGCAGGGAAAACCTCATACTGGCACTGATGATGTTACCTAGCTGTGTAATAAAATGCCTGCAAGCGAACAACCAAGCTCAGAGAGCACCAAGACATTCACAAATTGCACTAAATCACAATGTCATTTAATTTGGGCTTAGCAGGTGGTCCCAATCCAATCAATCATACTTTGATTAACAAACAATAGTTGAATAAGCCATGGCTTAGTTTTGTGTATGGTGCAAGTCTGTAACTTATCCCATCTTCCTATAGGAGGATAGGCATTCTTGCCCATTATCATGTTGATGATTGAAATCCATTTAGTCTCCACCTTCCCTTCTAATGATTCTTTTTCAGTGGAAGAGTATTAAACTAAGGGAATTTATGATACCTTGTATTATATATAAGAATACAAGGTCTTGTAAATGATGAATGTCATAATATCCAAAGATTCATTCTGTGCAGTTAAGGATCATAGCACTTAAGATGAGGCAGTATGATGCCACAAATCAGGAAATCATTTTAGTATGGAATGCCTCCAACGAGGCAAATTTTGAAAACAGAGCGTGTTAAGTTTCCAAATTTGAATCTGAATTTTGCCTCTCCAGAAATACTTATTCTCCTTCAATGAAAGCTTAAAGTTGCAATCCAAAACCCACTTACTAAGGAATATGCTTTGCTGAACTCAATATAATTTCCTTCCAAACAGATGAACAAATTGTACGTTAAACCTAATATAATATAATTGATATGTTAATTTTTAAACATAATACTTCTGAAAGTAGAAGGTTTTGTTTTGTTTCAACTAAAATAAAGATTAAGTTGCTTTTTTTAAATGGGTAAATTCTGAGAATAAATAATTTCAAGGTAGAATTAGAATAAACTCTTTAAACAAAATGAACCCAAATCCTTCTAGATTTATGCCGGGAAGCCTAATCCTTTTTATCACAAAATTGTTGTGAGTTCTTTAACAGTATGGAAGAGATCCATTTCTAAATTTAATTGTGTTTTTATAGGCATACAGATATTGATATTAATTAAATCATATCTTTTGTGTTTGGTATTATCAAGATTACAACTGAATAATTACCATGAATCTATTATAACAGCATTGCATTTTTATGAATTCATAAAAAATGCAAGAGCTTTACTTGCAAATGTAAATGTACCAGACAGTACCCACAGTTTCATTTATCAAATTATGATATAAATATTATGGATAGTTGTCATCCCACATTATCCTAGGAATCTCCAAAAGTACTCTGTACAATATTTCTACTATTACTTATAGTGATATTACCTTGATCTCCAATTTGGAATTGAATTCATATTTTTGGCTGCATACTATTTGGCTGCTACATTCTGAACCATTCAACAATATGAATACATTCAACACATTTTATATATGCTCCTAGGATGAGCATATCTCAAAATGTATATTGAAGAAAATATATTGAAATATAATGAATAAAATGACAGTAAATTTAAAGCTTGGCTTGTAAAGCAATGCAAAACATTTTGAACATAGACACTTGACAATCTATAGAGAATTGCTAGGTGAAGGAATGGATGTTTAATAGGAGTCTTCCTTATGTCAACCATGTCAAATCTAATCAGGCAGGAAGACATAATTAGAAACAGGTAATCCCACAAATAACCAGATTGTGCCCTGTCCCATGAAGGCATCTATAAATGACAATCAGGATCCTGAATTATGTTTGGAAGCTCACTGGCGTTATATCTCCCTCTTCAAGCACTTCAGGTTACAACTTTTAACATGAGTTCTTCCCTTGAATATTAAACATTTATTGTATAGCAAAGCATCCAAGGAGGACTTGTCTAAACAGATGTCTTCATATTCAGCCTTTCCTTTAGCAATAAAATTGTGTACATTTGTTACATCTGGAACAAAGCCTTGAGAATGATTCTCTTCTGATTATCAGGCTAAAAGCTACTTGAAGGAAATTCAAAAGCAGCATCCATCATGGGATTTTTTTTCAAGGATTTTGATGTATTCTTCTTACATGTGCCTCGTTGTGCAGAATGAATAAATGGCTTTTGACAAAACAATAATTTTCCAAATATTCTGTTGGTGGTATTAACTGACAAAGTGGAGCAGTCAGGAACTTAGAGGTTATGGTTCATGTCCCTCCATCCTCAGCTAATCTTCATTAAGCAGAATTTTTTTTTTTAAGTACCTCATTGGAATGAATGGAAGATTCTTCTGGAGTCAAATTCCAGACCACTTAAAAGGAGTAATAGCTGAAAAGAAGAGAAATTATCTCCTCCTTGATCTTTACAATCATCCTTCCCCAAGTTCACTCCTATGGCAATTAAAGATGGAAAAGCAGATGTACAGGTAATGAAAGTTTCTGTGTCTTCATCAACCTTAGCAACCTGAAGGTATGAGGGAACGTTGAGGAGATTTTCACTCCTTCAGAGTAGGAATACAGAATATCTTAGCAATGTAGGGTTTTTTTTTTTAAAAAAAAAAATATTTCTTGTGCATAGGATATTTAGAAGGTGTAGCTTCACATTTAATTATAAGGAACAATCATATGGCTAGGAATAAGGGTTATGCTTTACTACAAACCATTATAATGCATAGCTTTGCAAACTAAAATGTATTTCTTTTTACACATCACTGAATTTTAATGTTGAAACAACAACAACAACACACACACACGTATACATAAAAACAAAAAAGTACTTGTAAAAAGTTGTATACTAGGAGATGTATAGATTAGGTCGAGAATCATAATATTAGAAGGGACCTTGGACCAATACCCAGCCCAGGCCTAGAATCCCAGAGAAATGATTGCCCACCCTTTTACTTGAGTCCGATTGTTCCATAAAGTGTTTCAGAGCTCCTGCAGTCAGGAAATTTTTGAGTTTCTTGTCAGCTTCTTGTCAAAAATAACAAATTAATAGGTGAAAAAAAGTTTTAATTTTAAAAAATTTAAATGTACTAACTCTGCAAAAAAGCCAA